TGCAACAAGAGCCGTTACAAATTAATCCAAGCTAGTCATTATCTTTCCTGTGGGAACAAAGCTTGTACTAAAAGAGAAATTGACAATTCTCCGTTCAGAACACAATGTAATATAATATGTTATTTGATATATGAAAACCTTGGTTATAGATAATACAGAATTAAATGTAAGAGAGAATTACTAACAAATCCTGAAAGAGAGGATGTGACAGGTGGGTGTGGCAAGAGGGGTATGATTTTCTATTTGATGGCTCTGTAACCAAACAAAATTGAAAGCTATAAAAATTAAGGTTTGTCTGAGCAATGACAATTTTATAGCGAGTAATTTACGTTAAATATTGAACTTATTGAAGGGGTGGTGAATAAAATAGAGAAGATGTCACCTCTCTCACACTAGGGGAAATTCAGGATTTTTTTAAATATTGCCATATAAAATTAAGAACTTAAAACTTGTTTGCTATCAAAATATGAATTATTAGCTACAATTTTATGCTATACTAATTGGTATAACATAAACAAAAAGTAGTTTAATAAAATTTTGAATGTAAGTCACTAAAACCTCGTGACATGCACAGTAAATGATGCCTGGGCAGAGAGGGTTAAAACAAGTCAAATGTATATACAAATGTTTGTTACACTGTTGGTTATCACAGTTGTATCCAGAGCTTTAAATAATTGTCTCTTTTTTTTCCATCAAAGTATATACAGGCTGATTCAATTACTTTAGAACACAATTGACAAGACAAATTGTTCTTTGCTGCTTTGTTATTACAGTACAGTCTATGATAATTTCACCTTCAAATTGCCACTATATGCTCTTTATCACTGAACTCACAATCATGCAGTCTAGATCTAAATAATAATCTTTTGATGTGTATTCATACCATAACAGACATCTAGAACATTCCATGCACTACTAGATATTTTGATGCAATAATACACACTTAAAACAATGAGAAAAATTCAGAAAGTTTTAGTAGCATAATGCAACAATATAACAATCACTAAATCATAACAACTGAACATACACACTACACAACATAAGATTCATAAACAATTATGCAAACAAACTCACCACAAACTCTTGCTTCTAAAAATACTTAAATAAGACACCTGTGCTATATAAACTATTCAAATGATAACACATTAAGCTCAGACAATCATGTGTATCTAACAGCTATATGTGGTTTGCAGCACAAGCAAGCTTAACCATGTCACAGAAATAGAACTATAAGGTGATTGTGGGTTTGATATTTAAACATTTTTGTTTTCTTTTTTATTTTCATACAAGGAAGAAGCTGAGAACTGTACTCATCTTAAAACCATTTGAAAATTACCCACTATACCAGTAAGAGTCTGGTTAATGAGACTACACAGTATTCAGTATATAAGCTAGACCTTTGACACTCGTTACAGAACAGAATGAAGCACTAACGTGAAGCTGCTTGCGGCAGTATATGAATGTCTTTTGCTAGCAAAAGAAAAGGACTGTCATATGACAATTAAGGTACAGTACAATGTAGCTTTGCTGTTTTAATAGCTAATATAGCCTTTGACATGCAATTAGAATAGCTACCTTGTATTGTTATGCATACCTCTGGTGTTTTAAATTATACATTTTTTGTTTAATCCATGAATATCTGTACATGATATCATAACACAGTCATTATCTCAGTCTTTCTCTGGTGCCAGCAATGAATGTGAAGGTTGTGAGGTTGACACTATTCAGATATTTACTTGTGGTGATGACACTAATGATATACAAACTGGTTTACATGAGGCTTAAACTGCTTCAAGCAAGCACTGACAACTTCGTTCTTCCAAGACCATCATCATCACACAGCACTACAGCAACCTTGGATTCATCAGAGATTAGTTATGGTACTTCTGTAGTCACTGAGCCATGCATTAACATTAGCAATTTATTGACACTAACAAAATCATATGATGAAAAATGCTAAGCTATTAGTAATCTACCAATATGCTGAAAAGAATTCCTATCTTTATAAGCATGTGGCACCATCGAGTTTCCTACCACCTTTTCTCATGGGTGTAACTGCAAGTTTATTATAGCTTGGTTTGAAAAATACCCATGGTTATTATACAGCCCAAAATTGAATGCCATTTTTTGTGGTCCTTGTGCTACCCTTCTTCCAGTGCATAGTCACTGTGATAAAGTAGCACTTTTCAATAAATCATTTAACAACTGGGGGAAAAATTAGTGATATTTTAAGTAACCATTCTCAGGTTGTTTATCATCATGATTCTATGCAGGCTGCTGATGCTTTGAATGTTTCCATTGAACATTCATCATCCAGTAAAATTGATAGTATTACCAACAGTGCCCTTCAATCACATATAACTCAAAATAAACATATTTGTCATCAAATTGTTTGTGCCATTATATTTTTAGGAAAACAAGGCTTGGCATTTCGGACAATACCAAAAATGTAAATTCTTCCAAAAATCCTGGCAATTTTCTGGCCTTGCTGAAACATTATGTTGAAAATGATGAAATACTGAGAGCTCATTGTATCATCCCCAAGACAAATAATGACACATACTTATCACCCTACTCACAAAATGACATCATCAATGTCATAGGATATGATGTAATTCTAGTAAAAATTATGGATGAAGTAAAAACAAGGATTCTACTCTGTTTTTGCTGATGAAGTGTATAGTGTTTTATAAAAGAGGGTCAGAGCTACAGATATTGTATGTGAAATTACAAAGATCATCTCTAAATGAATTGCATGGTCAAGGATATAACAGAGCACTCACTATGGCTGGTGAAAGATCTGGTGTCTAAAAACAAATCTGAGATATGCAAAGCAAGGCCTTGTACACTCATTGCATGGGTCACTGATTTAATCTTACTATTATAAATTCATGGTTAGTTCCACCAATATGAAATTGTATTGATCAAGTTAAAGGAATAACTATTTGGATTAAATACTCACCTAAATATGGGGAATTATTAAAGGCAGTCTAATAAAAGGGCATCCAACATGGAGCAGCTTCATCGCATCTTTCACTAATCAATGTGTGCATTACATGTTGGGTATATTGAAGGTTGGGAAAGGTTCTGTTTATGTCATCCATTCTTACTTAACATGTGTGAGGTTATTGTGTATGAATATTATAATTTTGAGATGTTTAGTGGCAATTGGGCTGCTGAATATAAGAAAAATGCTATGGGTTATCTAAAATTCCTTTTGCTGTTTGACAGCCTTACAACATTCCCCTCACTATTTGAAAGAAGTTTCTGAATTTACAAGGTCCAAACCTAAATATTGTTTTTGGTATGTCCCCAATACAACAGTGCTTAAATAACTGAATGCAGATGATTATTCACATTGTATTTTCAAGCACAGCAATAATATTGCAAACAAAACTAATATTAATATTAGCATGCCACTAGTTAGTCAACGACAAGCCCAACGTGCAAATGCAAAATATAGTCAAGGATTATTTTAAGAAAACAGTAACCATTCCTTTTTTGACCACATTATCAGTAATCTTTCCTCCAGATTTGATACACATGTAAAGCAAGCAGCATCAATTCAAAAACTTATGCCATCAAAACTCGCGCAAGAGTTTTCTATCTCTGATATCAGACAGACTATAGATTTTAACAGGGAAGATTTGCCAAATCCTGATGCTTTTGATGAAGAACTTCATCGATGGAAGACAAGATGGCTTTCTATATCTCTCCAAGACAGGCCCCAGATACTGGCTGACTGCTTAAAACTGTGATTCAGTGTACCAAACATTTTTATGTTACTGAAACTCTTTGCCACACTGCCACTAAGTTCATGTTCATGTGAACATTCAGCATCTTCTCTCCGCCAGTTAAATAATTACCCGAGGTGTACACAAACTGAAGAAAGACTCAGTGCTCCAGCTTCAATACATAATCATTATAACACTGCTATCAACACTGAAGCTGTACGTAAAGTAATTTATGGAAAAGCACCCCAGAAGAATGGAGCATGCTAACATGTTATTTCAGTAGTGCATACATGTACATATATATATATGATAGCCAATGACTGAAATAGCTAATATTATTGTACAGATTTGTTTAAATGAGTAATATAATTTAACAATTAATAACTACTCTGCGTGTAGATAGTACAGTACTATAATAAAACGTACATAATTATGCTAATCTAAGTCTAGCTCCCCATGTAGTGTTACTACAGAATGATAATTTGTTGACTTTTCATTGGATGTTTGTGGGTTTTATGTGAACAGCCATATAATTGTTTAAGCTATATTTCATGCAAATTTGCTTCCAGATTTAATCTCATACTGCCTATTTTTTTTTAATTGTCTGAAGGGGCATGTCTCCAGACCCCATAGCATTAGCATGCTGATTGTGCTTCAAACAATATGTGATGGGTTTTGATCTCACAAATTAGAAAACCCCTTTCAAATATTCTATATACAGGGCTGGTATTAACAGATACAAAAATAAAATTTGATTTTGATCTTTAAACTTCCTTTGTCATTGATTTCTTAACAACATATAAGAAATGTTATGGTAAACCAAAGTTGAATGCATCATACTAAAATGATGTAGTAAATTTACAATAACAGTAAAGTTATCTGGTGAAACAAAAAAAAACTAATGCAATTCCAAGCTACAAAAAGAAAGCAGAGTCGAAGCCACCTAAGATGTTGACTTCCTTTCTCTAGCTTATAAACTCCTTAATAAGTTTGCTAAAATTCTGCAATCTGTTTGATCTTCAGAAAATAACAAACAAAATATATCACCTAATATTAAGAAATTCTTCATGAAGAGTATCAATCAAATTTTTATTAGTTGAATATGATAATTATTAAAAACGTTTAAAAATCTCATTAATGTACTAGTAAGTAACTAAATTATAACTGTTTCAACAGCAAAAAACGTTTTTTTTAACTTTAACAAAATTATAAACAATCATAGTTAGTGTGTAAAACAGAACATTAGTTCACATAAAAGTTACTTACAACTTTCTGCATTTTCCATTCTAGATGATTCTGTATCATCAGGAGGTAAGTCAACAGTTTGAACATATTGATAGAGAGTATGGGCCTCATGCACATCTGAAATGTTTTTATTGGTTTTATAATTAATTAAAGCTACCAAAATTATAAAATAGCTTTTAATGGTATAGTACTATTCTCCTCTACCACAATTTTTTTATGTTACCTGAAAAGGATATCATTCTTAGAAGATCAAAATATTTTTGAGTTAATCTCCACCAACAGTACACAACTACATGCCATTCATAATAAGAAAAACCTAGCATGGGGAAGATAGGAATCATTTTTAATTCTAAAATTGTAGATGTGAAGTATGCTACTATGCTTCAGGATACACAAAAAATCTAAGATTCTCACATTGTAAGAATGAATGGTAATAAAAAGAACAAAAGGCAGCATTCATCTGGAACAAGGGTGTGAAGGAAGACATACAGATCCTCTAGGCAATGATTTAATCCAGCAGTCCAACAATTAACATTATACACAAGACTTTTGCTTGGTAGCATTAATCCTGGATTGACTCTTATTCTATTGCAAGATAGTAGCTACCAGGAATAAACCAATCACAGCTGTTAGAAGTTTCCAAAAATTATCAAGTGAATTCAGAACATACTAGGAGATATAGAAGTAGACTTGTCAGGATAATACTGGACATGCTAATTTTAAACCATGAGATCTCATGACTTATGAGAAAAGTAAAACAGGTTCACAAACACTTCCAAAAAAGAAATCATTTACACTTTAGACATGCATAAAACAATGAACTCCAATGCTCAAGAAATTAATTGAAGTATGTGCTAGAGTAAAACATAAAACAGCCAAAATAAACATTCAAGACCTAGAAACAGAGTAAGCAATGGAGTGAAAACATAACAGTGAAAGTATTAAGAAATTCACATATCAGCATAGATCAGGTCAAAGTTTATCAAGTTGCAACAGTGAAGTGTACTGTCAGATATTTCACCTGGAAAAAGTAAACTGATAATTCATACCTTAAATTATTACCTAAAGTAAAAATAAATCCTTCAGATAGTTTTTCACCGACCAATAACCAATTATTCCAGTGAGGGTCACAAAAAATAAATAACTTGTTACAAGCATCACAAAATGGCTAAGTGAGACTTTGTATGGCAACAAAGAAAGAATATAGAGAAGTTATTCCATGTCTCAAATACAATGAGCTGCTGGAAGGAAAGGAAAATGATAGGTGAAAACTTTTGATCATCTTCTTAATAGCCCTAAATCCTGCAAGTCTTAGGAAAAAAAAAGGAAAATGTCAAGAAAGATCACATTCTTGTAAAACAATATGCTGGAAGCATATTGTACTTGAATGACTACTAATTAAAGTAATTAAAAGAAAATGGTTATTTTTAACATGGAAGAGAGGTTAAAAGGGATAAAAGGCAAAAATTTTCAGAAATACAGTAATATTCTAGTTCAGAAGACTTCAACAACAATGTTAAAGGAAAAATGTAAAAACATGTAAGGCAATTACTGAACCAACAAGCAATGGCAACATCACTAACTTCTAAAAATTCAAGTTTGTGAATCATAATATGTTTCTTGACAGATTTAACATCATCCTACCAGTAATTCGATTTTGTCAAGTGTCTCATAATAAAATACAAATAATAATTATATATTATAAAACAAAACTGTTCCATTCCCAGGAAATTAAAATAATAAGATTTTTTCAACAATCACTATAGGATAGCTTATGTCACGAGAACAAAATGAAGTTGTATTGCAAAATATATTACATTGTAAAAAAAAATGGAAAGAAGAGTATGTTTCTAAACAAAGTTAATATCATCCTTACCTGAAAGTGTATCTTAGATAGGTACCTACCTCTCCACAGAACAGATAGTTAGTGCCTTGCCCATCTGCCAAAAAGTTTTGTGCATTCCCCAAGCCTTTGCATAAGCCCTCACCCACCAGTAATAGCTTGTACTATGCCAGTTTATGATATCATCTGCATTAGATAATACCCTTGCACCATGTGTAGTATTCCCTTTTAGCACCTTGCACATACTCATTCTCAATGAGGCAAAATAGAAATACCAGAAGTGGAGAGGAAGGGTTGGTAATCTTAGGTAAGGAAAATGTTAACTTCAGAAATACTACTCTTCACTCCACAGAAGTTATAATTTTCCTATACTGAAAATGTATTTCGAATAGGAGGAACTTCCCTCCACTCACAAGATTAGCTATTCTCATTAATTGCTGCCCTCTATATGTGAAATTATTTATTACGCATGCCACAAGCATTTTGCGCTCCCCTATTGGAATTAAATGATTGCAACTTGTCTCTCATGTAAATTATCATGAGTCACATCTCCACCAATAGGATAATAGTACACTCATGTGATTTCCTCTATGCGCCTCTACCGAACTATCACTTCAAAGTTTGGTAGATGATGGAAGCACCAAAAGTGGGTGGGAAGTGTGAGCGGAGGAGAATACCTATTGGAAATATATTTTCAGTATAGGAAAATTATAACTTCCAATATAGTACTTCCCTCTACTCACAAGGTTAGCTAGAATCACACATTGATATAGAGGAGGGACTGGTGCAAGGGAAGAACAGATGTACCCCCTGAAAGAGTCTGAAGGATACCACTGTAGATGAGAGAGTCAGATCTGAAGTGCACCACTTTTGATCCAGGCACTCTTGCAGACTATAAGTTGGAGAGATTGTGGTAGGAAAGTGATCCTAACTGGAGAAACATATAGTAATTCAATCCCCCAATAAGAAAAGTGGGTAAATGAAGAAGTGTCCCATGGTGTAGAGTGTTTAGGGTGCAGCAGATTGTGCTTGGTAAGTCAACTACATCCAAAAACCTTCTTGCGGGATACCGACATCTGTGCAAGGGTAGGATGAGGATCATACATTCTTCACCTTAAACCTAAGAACCGGAGAATTGAGAACCATTCCGATTCATGGGTATTACACAGGATTAGTTCTGAGCTATAGAAACAAGAATTTGACATCTGATATCAAAAGCAAGTCTATGCATGCAATCAACTCCCGTGACCGTGAAACAGGTCAGAACCATCTGAAAGGCAATAACATCCATGTGACAAGAGAGATGAGGGAGAGCCAAGGATAGAACCAGAATAATCCCACATATCTTTGCTGTGACCCACAACACAGAAGGACGAAATTGAGGGAGGAAGATATACAACCCTAAACCTGTGTGAGGACTTATGTTGATTGGTTCACTTGAAATCCAAAACCAGCTCGCAGGGTACTGACATCCACACGAAGGTAGGATGAGGGTTCCCAATCAAAGGGGTGAACTGCATTTTGACATCTCACTCCATTTTATTGTTAGTCGCAAATCAGAGGATATTGTCATCTATACCAGCAGAACACCACTGCTCTACTCTGAACTGAATGGTTATAGCCATCTTATGTGGAACCCATCCAACAGGGTACCTCCATGGTCAACCACCCCAGCATATTGTAAGTGATAAGGACTTCCATACTCCACTATAAGAAATGGGGCAATAGAGAGCCTGGAGGAATGTCGACACTCAAGACAGTGCATTGGGTGATAACGAAACCCTATTTTGAAAAGCAGACCATACCAATTTATTCAATCGAGCCATGGGAGGGATGGGCAGCTATCCCTTTCTGCTATACCCATGAAGTACATGGGTGGTACAGTTCAGGGACGGGCCAATTTATGAAGCAATTATCTTGAGATTATTTACCTACCAGCAATCTTGTGAAACACCCCTTCTCAAAGGTGAATGTGCAAAAGTGCTAGTCAAGATGGCGTACAGTGTGGATTTAGAATTAAAGAATACCTGGTCAGGCACCATTCACCTTGAAGCAGGATCCAAATAGTGAATAATGAAACAAGAGCCCTTGAATGGAAAGAAATAATGAATAGAAACTTACCCAGTTAGAGTCACACCAAAGTGTGAAAAACGTGTGCAGGTGGTAGATGAATACCTGACAAGGAAGAAACCATGATATGGTGTAGATAAGGAGAGACAAACATATTAGGTGTATTCCTCATGCCGAAATGTAGGAGTTCCCCCAACAACCAACAAAGATGAGATGACAGGGAAAAGGTAAGAATATTGAATCTGATGAGAAGGCACCAGAAACAAAGTCTGGGAGAAAGATGACAAAGTGTAATAAGCCAATGGGATCAAAAGCCAAACACAATTGGTGAGGGTGGAAGGAAAAAAGATCTTGACTCAAGGAAAACTGTCTAGGAATAAAGAGGCGGGAGCAGGCATCAAGGAAAGAAGCCATATGGGCAATAGAACAACAAAGAGCACAGACCGTACATAGGATTCGATGGATCAGGATGAGAATAAAGATGGGAATTGAAAGGAAGGGAATTAGGCAAAAGGATGAGTTACTTCCCCTAGTCGCTAATGTCTTGGGAGGAAGAAAATATCCAGATAAAGGAGTGGGGAAAATGTACGAGAAACATTATGGGAAACAAATCTGACCTCCGACATACACAGGCATATTGGAGAAGGAATTACGTTTGAAGAGAAGGTGAAACATGGAACACAAGGAAAATTATGCAAATGAAGGTCAAGTGTGAGAATAAAAAATCACGTTAATATCCCAGGTCAGAATGGCAGGCAGTCAGGGAGGACGACTAATCCGGAAGGAACATATAAACATAGTAAAAATAGCTGGGCTAAAAACTCTGCAGTGTCTGAAAAAAAAACAAAGGTATGGGACAAGACTGCCCGATAACCCAAGATTGAGGGGCACAAAGACCCATGGTCGAAAACAAGGAGAGAAACTCTGCAACCCAAGATACAGGGGTTTGATCTGTGGGAAATCCATGACTTGTAGATTAACTGCAAAATACTTTCCATTTACGCCAATAAATGGCCACTGAAGAAGAGCGATTGGAACAAGCTGAAAGAAAACTACCTGCAAGTATAAATCTAATCTCCCTGACAAGGACTGAATAAGAGCCAAGTGTGAAGATGAACGATGTGAATGTCCAGATGGATTACCAGCAAACAAAGTGGAGGAAGAAAGACTGGAAGAGGCAGTAGAGGTAAAAGTTGAAGCTGGAGAAGTCATAGAAACCACAGTTGAGCTGGCCATTAAGGAGCAATAAGAAACCTAACACAGAATGGTAGGGACGAGGGAGACCACCCATGGAAGTAAGAGGATGGAAGATGAACATACAGGAACCTGTAAGGTATCAACAGCCCTAGCTAGAGGGGTATGTACTGGAAACCAAATAGAGGTAATAGGCAGTTAAGAGATGCAGTAAAGGGATCTATGCAAGGAGAATCCCATGAAAGACAAAAACCACTGGAAAACAAGAGAATCAAGAGACCACTTAGATGGACAGAATGCGTTGGGACGAGAAAAACAAACTGCGATCCAAGTGAGAGCACCCAAACATGCAAGAATATGAAAATTGTGCGTTGGGGTCCAAAAGAGCAGAACTAATATGTGAAAAGTGAGGAAGTGCAAACAGGTACCACTTATAGGAGCAATGCCCCCAAAAAAATGGACTAGAGAAGAAAAGTAACAGTACAGAAAACATGAAGATAATATTCTGCAAAGTGTGTAAAGTAGGTCTAGCAGATACTGCTATAGAAGTATGGAAGGCATTCCATGATAAGGTCAGGGAGAACTGACAATTTTAGGACGTTGGAAAATGGGTTCAGCCATTATATGGGGAAGCTGAGCAATAGTGGAAACAGATATGGTAGATCCTGACTCTCAGGGACCAACACATGAATTTAAATTACTGGTACAAAGGATAAATTATAAACAAAACAAAATTAATGGCAAGAAGAATAAAGTAGAGATTAAACTAAGGTAACTGTAAAATTATATACTATAAAGAAAAGCAAAATGAAATAGTCAACATAGTGAAAAACTGAAAGAAAATGGTGTATGGAATACATTCCATATGATGTTGAATTGAAGAAAAATTTGGAACCATGGTAGATATGAACCTGTTCATAAAACTACGGGAAACCAATAAATTAATTAATGGTAAGGAGGATAAATTATAAACTAAATGAAATTAATAGTAAAAAGAATAAAGTTAACGACAAAAAGGATGCAGCTATCCACAGGCAGTTGTCCCACTAGCAATTGTCCTTCTCCCAGATTAAACATATATTTTTGTTTTCTGAAAACATACACAATGTAGAAAATGATAAAGAACATACCTGGGTTCTGTGTAAAAACTGTCTGGTTGTCAGCTGTAGCTACCACTCGTCTTAAATGATCATTGTAACATACCTTAACATCACTGATGAACAATACTTAAATGAAAAAAATAAACTAATGTACAAAAGACAATTCAGTGGTTAACTGGAATGGATATTTTCTAATAAATTTAATAAAAATGAAAATATAGTTCTTACCTAAATGACATAAAATCATGTCTTATTTGCTAAAAAGAATGCTACTCATTTTTATTCATACATTAAACAATTTATGAAATTTTATTGAGTTTATAATTTTCTATTAAAACTTTGCCTACCACTTAGTAAATCTTAACACTAAACATTTCTTTGATGTTTCAGTTCAATGTACTTCAGCTTTTAGCAAAATCATGAGAAGTTACTTAGTTTTCTAGTTGTCACTTATAACTGCTGTATAAAATGATCTGATGAGTGAATAGTGGATTTTTAGTAGATGCAAGCTGTAGATTAATCTTGAGATTACAACAGCAGCTCCAAGTTTAATAGCTGCTTTATTCTCATAGAAGGTAGGTTGAGTTTACATTTAATAGTGTAATGCTTCAACAAATCTCAAAAAGATGCCTTTAGATGGGAAACAAGATTTGTACAATAGGGTTCAGGGTTTGGGGGATAAAAACAAACAAACAAAGGATATGCTAAAGCTAATTCAATCCAAATGAAGTACTAGTACATTTTGATCATATAGAATAATTGAAGAGAAGTTTCAAAATAAGAAGAAGAAGAAGAAAAAAATTCATAACGTATGATGTGAAAAAAATATATGAATGCTAACTTCATATTGGCACTTGTAGTACTTTGAGAGACTATGCTAGGACTTTTCTTAAGTGTATTAGGTCGTCAAGAAATTAATGTCACTTTTTTTTTAGATGAAAAAACCTGAATAACTTATATATCATAACAAAACATTTATTAAATGAAATAGTCTCCATTCTTATCGACAATGCTTTTCCATCTTACAATCAGGTTGTTAATGACCTGATTAAAAAAATCACCTGGCTTTGAAGCAAAAAACATGTTGATGTTCTCTTTAACACCTTCCACATTTGCATACGGTTTCCCATTAAAATGGTGGTGCAGAGAACAAAAAAAATGGTAATCTGATGGTGCCATATCTGGAGGATATGGTGGGTGGGGGAGAACTTCCCAACCCAACTCTATAAACTTGTGTTGCGTCAGATGTGCCACATGTGGACGTGCATTTTCCAATTAACAAAGTGAAGGGCGTTTCTGATGAAGGGCTTGATTTAAACGTTCCAGTTGCTGACTATAGATCTCTGCATTGACAGTTCGCTGTGGATTGAGGAGTTTGAAATGAATTACTCCTTTGATGTCCCACCAAATGCAAAGCATCACTTTCTGCAGGTGCAGTCCAGGTTTTGGGGTCGAAAATGATTTTTGTCTAGGACTGAGCCATTGAATTTGACATTTAATATTCACATAGAGAATCCATTTTTCATCACCGGTAACAATTCTGTCCAAAAATGGTTCACACACATTATGCGCCAGAAGAGTCGAAGCAACATTCACATGTTGGAAACAATGATCATCAGAGAGTTTGTGAGGCACCCAAACACCTTCTTTATGGAATTTTCCAATATTCCTTAGATGTTTACATATTTTTTCATGAGAGACATGCAATTTCAAGGCCATTTCACAAGTGTGTTGCCTTGGGTTAGACTTAACAACATGTTGGCCCCTGCCATCACAGTTTTAAAGCCTAAATTCACCTGAATGAAATTTCCTGAACCATCATTATCACTTATGAACGTTCAAAACATTTCCATAAACTTCTCTGATAGTCTTTGTGGCTACAGAGGCATTGTTTCCCTTCT